TCACGGGCTTCAGACATGTATCTGCAAGAGATTTATTTCAAAGCCTGCCCAAAATTTGGAAGCCCCAGCCAAGACTAATAGTACATAATAAAATACCTTTCTCAGGATCTTACCCAAGACTTAACTAAACTAAAAAAAAAAAAAAAAAAAAAAAAAAAAAAATTCTAAAAATCCTGTGGATAGTAATTTTTAAACTCTTTAAAAGTCCTCTGCAAGGGAATCCATGACCTAGTGTACGGTTGTTTCTGTATTCTGCCACCTGTGTGCTCTGAAGGCAAACCACAGGCTGGTGAGGACAGGAAGCTTGTTCTTGTTCTGCGTGCCGCACTGCGGAGCCCTCACAACACTATGTGAGTGAGTGAATTAGTTATGCCTGTGATCAGCTTCCTAGGATAAACCAAGCACCTCCTCTGACATCTTGTAGGACTAATTATATTTTAATGTGACTGTGTTTATATTTTAAATCAAGACCTAGGGGTGAAAGACTAGCTCATTACTGACAGCCTGTTTGTGTCCTAGGCCTCCTCCTTCTCTAAGTGACCAGCCTGCAGAAGCCCATTGCGTTCCGGCAGGGACCTCAGCATGGTGACTAGATAGTAATCTGTATTAGAGCCACCACTCCTCCCTGGTTAGAGGACACAGTGCGGACGGATGCTGTTGCTTTCGCTGATGTTTATGGGTTTAAGTGAAAATTGCCAGTGAAATAGTTTTTAATCTGGCAAGTTTCTAATATTCTCCTGAGAATTAACATTTTTACAAAGTGTTTAGAGGTCTTGGTGTGTGTCATTTCTAACGGTACTGATATCAGTTTTGGAAAGTTTCAGGTTCTCCTTTAAAAGCACTTGTATTTTGTTGTTGTGGATGTTATGTTTGTAACTTTAGAGTTGCATGTCCTTACATGTGTTTTGTTTAACTAGAATTTATGGCTGCCACAGGAGTTTGGCCATTGTAATGACGCCATTTCTTTGATGTGCTGAATTCATAAGGATGGTTGGGATCTTTTCTTTTAGCGTAAACTAAAGCACAATTACCAGTGTGTTCAAAACGTAAAGAGAAAAATTTGCCACGGGTTAAATATTTAAGGTTTTACATATTTGTTATGTAATAATTTGTTATATGGAATGAAGCAAGCCAAAATAAACATTTGGTGGGGATTTTAACTTTGGCTAAGCTATTTCACAATATTCCCTGAGATGGAGATAGTTAATTCTATAACGTTCGGGGAAGTTCCAAGATGGCCCAAATGTAGTTATTAAAATTGCACGTGGTTAGTTTGCTGTTAGTGCCTGAGGACAATCGCAGGATGACTTCTCAGGCCTTGATGAGCAGCCCTGGGCTTGCACCAGCATTTCCAGTTTTTTAAAAATATTTATTTATTTATTTATTTATTATGTATACAATATTCTGTCTATGTGTATGCCTGCAGACCAGAAGAGGGCACCAGACCCCATTACAGATGGTTGTGAGCCACCATGTGGTTGCTGGGAATTGAACTCAGGACGTTTGGAAGAGCAGGCAATGCTCTTAACCTCTGAGCCATCTCTCCGGCCCCCCAGCATTTCCATTTTTAATAGTCCTAACCCAGACAGAGAGCAGGTAGCTCTGAATCCCAGAGAAGGAGCTTTGCTGAGTGAGCTGTTGATTTAAATGTAATGAAATGTATGGTTCTAGTCATCTTAAAAGAGAAACATCAACTGTTTGTTTCTGATTATTAGCAATGAGGAAAATTCTGTTTCTGCTTCGATGGTTCATGTTCTGTTTGTTTTTTGTTTTGTCTTTGTATTTCAGTAGCCCTTGATGTGTAGTCCGCCAAAAGAAAATATAATTTTTATTTTATTTTAGAATGTGGGGATTTTTCTTGAACAGTTTTTGAAAGGCTGATCTATAGAACAGGGATTTGCTTTCTTCGGAGTAATCCAGATGGAGGGAGGCAGGTCAATGAAGACAGGCCACACCGGGAGAGAATCTTTTAGTAAGACTGATGATAAAGTGGATGCCGCACAATGGCTGAGTTGCCATGGAGATGAGTAGGGCTTGTTCTGTCCTGGTCAGTTTTAAACAGAGTTTAGAACCTGTCTGTCAGGCTCTAGGTAGGAGAGAAGGGCCTCCTACTAAATCAACAGCAAATGTCTATTTCCAGGGCAAACGTGTAAATGTAACTCACTCTCTGTTCTTGATCTCGTTTATGGAGTGTGATGCCTGCTATGGCAGTAGATTGTGCTAAGTATCAAATTGATAGTGGAGTGCTGATGGGAAGATTTAACCTATTCCTCCTTTTCTTTCTAGTAAGATTTTAATCTCAATTACTGTGATTATGTTCATGGCAATGTTGCTGGGCCTTCTTTTTTTGGGGAGGGGGAGAAGGGGTCTTTTGGGAAGTACCCATTCTTCCCACCAGTGTTGAATGCCTGCAAAGAGCAATGTGACCATTTTCATCACGACAATTGGCCCTCATTTCATTTCTTTATCCTTTGATCTCTGTAGTTCCATGGCTCTAACAATAGACAGTGGTCAAATGGGAAATATTAACCCATCAGAGGCAAATAGCCACAGATTATTCTGGAAAGGACAAAATATATAAAGTCTATTATATCATAAGGTTACAATTATTCCCAAGGATAAAGCATGTCGGTTGAAGAACCCTGTACTTGTCAGTTGCTTTGTAGCTAAATCGAGACTTGTTACAACATACTTTTGAATATGACATGGGTGAACCTTCATCTGGCCAACTGAACACATTTTTATTTTAGGAGCAGGCTGAACAGCTTGTCTCTGTTAGTGTGCAATTAGATCAGCTGCCCTTAGGAAAGTAATAACTGAAAAGATAGGAGCTGGTATAAAGGAGGAGCAAATATCACTATGTTTTTATCATAACTACTTTGCAACATAGAGCATTTTCTTCATCAGTCCACGTTTATCTGTATTTCCATTTTAGGTGTTATTATTTTACATGTGTTATGGCAGTTCAATCTGCATAAATAGACCCGAGGCAGCATCACTTTGGACCTGACTTCTCATGGCCTTGTGTCCAAACTGGAGATTTTTATATTCTAATCTCTAATGTATACTGAAGTAGTGAACTGCCATCAAAGTTAAAGAGAGTTTTTCTCTCAATATCTATAAGTATCGATTCATTTTTAGTCATTTCTTCTTGAGAATGTCTATCTTGGGCATGCTGACAATCAGAGACCTCTCATTATCACCAGGTGTCGCGTAGACAGCTACCGTGAAAGTCACAGCTCTCCAATGGTCTTGCTATTTAAGGTCAGATGAGTTATTTCTGACTTAAAAACTAGTCTTTCTTGCCTTTAGCGTATTTTTTTTAAGTGGTAGAAAATCAAAACTGCACAGGGAATTTACCAAACTGAATATTTTCCAAGCCTTGATGATTCAAAATTAAAACAGACGAAGTGCAAATCCGAGCCTAAAGGTTGGAAGACCCATTATGCAGGCCAGGCTGCAGATGAAGAATTCTACGTTCTACTAAATCCTTTTTCACATCCTGAATTTTTTCACATTGGTTTTGTATATGGGAGGTGTCGTAGTAGCAATTTAACAGACTGTAAAATAAGCTCTCTCTGCACTCCGGGCGTTTAGCATGTGGAAAGCAAGTCTGGTGAGTGTTTTGCCCTGGAGAATTCACTTGGGGTGCCGCTTTGCGGGGGGAAGATAATAAAGTCTGTTGTTTGTATTAGGGTGCTTCCTTATAATATCTGGGAGGGACACTCTCCATGGAAAATTAAAGTAGAATTAAAGTCACCATCCCTCCAGGGGTTCCGTGGCCCTGAAGCAAAGGGGAGATGTAGCAACTTATATTGTACCTCCAAAGTCATAGCAACTGAGCTGTAGTGGAGGGCAATCTGATTTCAGGCTCTACCTTCCCCTGACCGGAACGACAAGAATGCATTGAGTAACACTTTTGTTCTGCTTCATTTATAGCAACTCGCCTGTTCTTGGTGGGGAGTAGGTAATAATTGAGAAGGGTTTTGAGATCTCTATAAACTCTTGTCTGGAACGTTCTATGTAGCCTTTTAGATGTAGCTGGGATATCCAGAACCAAACGACAATCACTGGTCCTCCATATACTGAGTACAGTGCTTCTACCGAGTCACCCCAGTCATTAGAATAAGCACCCCTCAAGTATAAAAATGAAGAGCTCGTGCCCCCAAATGGTATGAGATGGTGATGTTTATGAATGATTTCTCTTTCAGAAGGGAGCAGCAGCATCTGTAAATGAAAAGTGACTGTGAGGTTGTACATTGGTGGGCAGTATTGGTGCAATTAGCCCCCTGTATAATTGAAGCTGCCTGCTCTCTGAAATGAAATATTGAATCAAGGCCCTCATTGCACATGGAAGGAAATGCAAGACAGGGATGGATCTGTGGTTTTAATATCGCTGATGCTATTGGCTTAGACATGTTCCATTTGTTGGGTCTGTTTTGCAAGCCTAAATTTGAGCCCAGAGACTTTCTCCATATAAATGTCTCAAGAATTGCAGCCACACATCCATCACCTTTTTTCTTTGGAATTACAAAGATAACCTTAAGATAGGAGTCTTCTACTGGGCAGTGTGATACGTACATAGAAAGGGCGAGCCTCCTCAGTGATGAAATCAGCCAGTGCCCAAGAGGAAGGTAATAGGCAGAAAGGGTAGAACTGATGAAAAAATTGATTCTTTTCCAAAACGTGGTATGTTTTTTAAGAAGCAGGCATCAGCTGAAAGAGAATTTTTTTTTCAACTGAAAAGAGACTGACAGCGAGGGAAGGAAAGGTATATAAAGGACCAGGGGAATAAGCATGTGTCTTATTCCCACACCATCTCAGGCAATGAGGAAGTTGAGAAGTATTCCATGTGTGGTACTTTGGATGTTTCCCTGAAGCTCGCAGAAGTAAACTCTTTAATGCTAATAGTGGACTTTACTTTTCCTTCCTTCAGTGCGCCTGTACCCTCCACACACCATTGTCGTTTCCACTGCAAACAGTGTGTTGTTTGTTTTCAGGTTTGCCAAAGATGCAAGTCATTAGGAACTACACTGGGACCCCACCCCCAGCTCTCCACGAAGGACCACCATTGCATATCCAGGCGGGAGACACTGTGGAACTGCTGAGAGGAGATGCCCACAGTGCATTCTGGCAGGTACTACTCAGACGATAACCATTCTTTTCTAAAGGGTGATTGACTGTTGAATACAAAAGAAAACTCTTGCCTTTAAAAACTGATTGTGCACTTCAGCTTCAGAAACCTTACATGCGTTGGTAGGGTTATTTATTAAACTTGCCCATGTTGGCCACGAGTGTTTTAACACTAAAGAAAAACAGTGTCAGTGCTGTGAGTCATAATTACCATTTTTATTAAAAATTCATACTTGGCTGGAACGTTTTCCCAAACCTAGTACCTGTGGGTATGATCCAGCATGCATAACTTTCATATATTAAGGGTTCAATCCATGGAAGATACCTGACTGGCTTGCCTGTGGCCATGTGGGGCCCTATTTGCCCATACCCACGCATAGTACCCGAACACTTTTAGAGACTCTCTAGGCATTATTCAAAAGCATATGAAATGTAAGAGGTAATTGATTTTGTTGATATTTGCTGGTGATAAAACCTCTCTTTTCTAAAAAGCCTACTTCTGATTTAGGTATTTTTGTTGAGGAAAAACATGCTAGAGTGTTAAGATTTCATATGGCTGGCTAACAGAATGTTGTGGTTTGGTAAGAGGGCCTGTGTTTTCTATATGTGTAGAAATATTTACCAATAAAGTTGAAGAACGTGCTAACTCTCTGCTGTAGTTGAGGATAACGGGGGAGGGGTTGAGATTAAGTAGGAAGGATGGCATGTGAGTGAAATTTGTTTATGGCCAAAGGAAAAGGACGCAGAGAAGGACCATGGGACAAGCTTGCCCACTGTGCACATGGCAGTGGCATCTGTCTTATTTATTTGAACTGCTCTACTGTTCTCTTGTCACTCCAGAGTGCTCCTAGATCTAACACTACTGCCTCCATCATTCCTCCTGCTGCAGCCAATGGCTTTCCCAAAATTCCAACATTTTTCTCCAGTTTTTTCCCTATCATTCATTATCCTTCCCAGAATAGAAAGAGAAAAAAATAACAAATTAAATATTTCAACTCTTAAATCCTTCCACCTAAACACAAAACTGCTTTGTTTGTATGTACCAGCAAGGTCCCCTTATTCAAGACTCCTTTCTGTTTGAATTTTCTGTCCTAAATTTTCTTTATTTTATTAAGTTGATTTTTATTGAGCTCTACATTTTTCTCTGCTCCCCTCCCTGCCTCTCCCCTCCCATTCAACCCTCCCCCAAGGTCCCCATGCTCCCAATTTACTCAGGAGATCTTGTCTTTTTCTACTTCCCATGTAGATTAGATTCATGTATGTCTTTGTTAGTGTCCTCATTGTTGTCTAAGTACTCTGGGATTGTGTCCAAGATTTTTAACTTCTTTGTCAACTGGCATCTCGTCTATAGCATGTTTCTGTGTGTACTTGCCTCACGTTTCAAAGTACGTAACTCAACATTTGTCTTGTTTGTTCTTTTGAATTCCTTCATTCCCTCACCCTCTGTCTCTTCCACTCCAAGCTAAAGTTATTGGGGAATCAATGTGTACTCAGTCTTGTCTGTTCTTGTTCTGGTCACAATCTGGAACCCTGCAAGGTCTACGCCTAACTTGTATCAATAGTGCCGCTTAAGAAAAACAAGAGCTTTGAGGTATTTGATAAACCATACATATTTGAAGTGTATAATTTGAGAACTTTTAATGTGTGTGTGTGGTGACATCACTTTGATCAAGGTAATATATACATCCACCCATCTCAAGTATGTTTTCTATTTATTGATGATGCTCTTCTGGCTTTCACTTCATGCTAATGGAGGCCATAGGAAAACAACCTGTATCCCGTTCTATCACCTCCCGCTTTAGTCTCCCGAGACAGGGTCTTTCAGTGAACCTGGCACTCAGCTAGCAGCTAGTGAGTCTCTTGTCTCCCCCTCCCACAGTGCTGCGGTTCCAGGTGTACATGACCTGCCCTGCTTGCTACATCGGCTCAGAGTATCTGAGCTCAGGTCCTCATGCAAGTGCAGCAAGGGCTCTTCCCCCTTGGGCCACCTCTCCAGCCTACAGTTACTGTTTTTGTATTGAGCTTCTATGCTGTAACTACCCTTGTTCCCAGTTAGGCTTAGAGTTTCCTTTATCGTATCCTATCAGAGGTTTTATGTAAACGACTATGCTTGCTTCATCCTTTCCAGTCTAGATGCCTTTCAGTTCTTTTTCGTACCCCGTGGCAACGGCTATACTATCTGTAAGGTGTTAGGTGCCAGTGATGATAAGTGTATCATGGCTGTATTTCTGATCTGAGGGAAAGCATCAAGTTCTTTACTGCTGAGTATGATGTTACCTGCGATGTAGGCCGCTTTATTTAAAGTGCAAAGTAAATTTCTTTATGAGTAAAAAGCTGGCGGCCCTTATCTGATTTTTCTTCAGTGAGTTAAGATAGCTGGCCTTTTTTTTTTTATAAAAATCTAAAAAAAAAAAAAAACAAAAAAACAAACAAAAAGCAAAAAAAAAAAGAATCTACATTTTATCTTTCATTAAATTTAATGGTCTGATGGTCATAATATTAACTGTTGATTTAGTATCTCAAGTCTGTAGTGGTGTCACCACACCATTATTCCTCTTTCTGGCTCCATTGTTTTCTCCTTGGATGCTCTGTTGGTTAAGTCTGATGAGTTGACTATGATGTCTACTGGTCTCAACATAGTAGAGACGATTGCTTCTCTCTCTCTCTCTATCTCTCTCTCTCTCTCTCTCATATACTAGATCGCTGCTCCTGGAATTATTCTTATTTTCTCCTCCTCTCACTTTGGTTTTAGTTAACAGTTTGAGAGTTTTGCTTTTAGGCTCTTAAGGTAACACATTTGTTTATGATTTGTGTATTTTATTTTGTTTTCTTTTTCTAACAGGCAGACAGTCCTGCAAGTTCTAAGCACTACTTCTGCTGCCTCCCTAGGCTCTGATCTACTTCATTTTACTTTTAGTAGGCTCAGAATGTTTTCATTTCTTCTTTTGGGATTTTAGAAAAGAGACTGTTTGGTTTACAGGTATTAAGGGATTTTTCCAAATGTTCTTAATGTCTTTGCTTAAAAGATATTGATTGTCCCCGTTGGTATATAAAAATATAAAAATTATACAGGATAATAGCAACTTGTGATTTTTCTTTTTATGTATATATTTCATGGTATTAAAGTCAGGTTAAACAGTTATCTTTAGTATGCTCTTAATTTCTAATTTCATTTCATTTCACAAGAGAATATAGATTATATTATTTCATAATTTTAAATTAGTTAAGCTTTATTTTATAGCCCATAAAATGATAAATCTTGATAAACACTCTGTGTGGGCATACAAAGCATGTATATTCTATTTATAAGCAGTGGAATGTCATTTAAGTATAACAATAACTATTTATATTGCTTAAATATTATATATCCTATGGTTCTACAAATACCCAATTTATCTACCTCTGACTCTCAAGTCTGACAATTTTGTAGATTCTGTCTTCCCTCTCACTTTCTTATGTATATATCTTGGTCATAAATTTTTCTTTTTTAGCTTATAAATCACATTCAAAGTATTTCTTCATCTCCATTGTAAAATTCTGCTCAAACTATGACACTTGCCCTGACACTTTTGTGTCATATGACATCTGGGGTTTTCTTTAATTTCTATTCTCATTTGTAGAATTCGTTTACTATAGACATCTTCCATACTCCTGCAAAATTCAGATATAATTCAACAATTTATTAATGCCTTTCAGTGTTCTTCTTCTGGCCACACAGTGTTGCTGTTTCTTTTCCCCAACAGAGGTGTTTATGAGCCGCAAAATCAGCGCTGCAGCCTTGGTGCTTTTGTGACTTCTTCTCTCATTGTTCTCTCATTTAGTGTAGCCCTCATCATTCTTGTGATAACTACCTTTAATTGTCAACTTTATGCAACATGGAGTCACCTAGGAAGAGAACGTTTATGAGGAATGCTTTACAGTGTGTTGGCCACTGTATGTCATTAGGGAATGTGGGTATGTCATTAGGGAATTGTCTTAAGCCAGGTGATATATTAAACCCAGCCACTGTAGGAAGCACCATTCCCTAGTGAGGGGTTCCTGAACTTCTAAGAGTGGACAAGTCAAGCTGTTCAATACAAGCAAGTAAGTGAGCATGCCTATATTAGTCTCTCGCTGCTCTTGGGTGAGAATGTGATATGATTAGCTCTTTGAAGTGTCCACCTTGACTTTCCTACAATGATGGACTGTAACCTATAATTGTAAACTGAAATTTCAAAGTTGCCTTTGACTGGACATTTTATCACATTTATCCCAACAACATGAAGGAAACTGGAACAATCCCCATGTACTTATACCTGCTATTTTATGGCATCTCACTAAAAGCCCCACCTGCATTGGCTTTCTTACCCTGTCTACCTTCTCACTTCCATGCCAACTATCAGACAAAACTTGGCATTAAAAAAAAGCCTTATAATAGTGACCAAAAAGAAAAAGTGCAAACAGCTCATGTTTATTTACAGTTTTTGGACACAAGAGAGATTTATAAGTACATTTTACATATATTAACTCATGTATTAGTAATGAGCATTCTGGAAGAAAAGAATTTATGTTTTAGTCCGTATTTTAAATATAAGCAGGCAGAATCACTGAGAAGTTGAGTAGTCTGCCCAAAGTTGCATAGTTACTGGGAAGAACTGGGAATAAAACCTAGAAATTCTTGACCCTGAGTCTAAGCCCTTAACTTTCGTGCTGTTCCGTGTCTTCCGAGGTCCTCTCACCACTGAATGAACTCATGCTGCCCCAACACACTTTATGACGAAATGGTTAGCACTGCAATATCCTTTATGCTGGTTGAAATGGGCTTTTTTTCTCAGTATCATGAAGTTCCTGACAGTATTCTGGTCTATTTATACCAAGTAATGCCTCGTGGGTTCTCAAATTATTCTAGGTTACTAAGATGGCTCTTCTGCCTATTATGGTAGGGACATGATACTGAACAGCTGAGGGCCTACAGTGACTAGAATCCCAGGATGGACACTTGGGACTGGACATGTCAGGAACTTT